GATCGTAAAAGTTCCGAACCTGAAACTCCGCCGGGCAACGAAGCGAAAACCGCGCGAGACTGCTACTAAATATGAATCATAAAAGAACCATAAAGATAATTGTATGCTAATAGGCGAAGCGTATGCGCCACGTTGTCCGGAACGCTTCAACATTCTATCCGTTATTATCTACGTAGCTGCGTCATATGTTGAACATACACTGCATGCACGTTCGCTGTTCCTCATCGACAAATTTCTTGTGATATCTCCTAAAATTAATTATGACGCGGAAAGTATAGCAGAAACATAAGACGCAACACCTTTTACATTCTGTCAAATAAGTACAAGGAATTGTTGAAGGTGCGCCGTGGTATTCTGGTCTAGGAATTTCAAAAAATTGATTTTCTTTTTGCGTTTTGTCAGAAATGCGTATGAAATTTGAATGAATCGAATATCTTTGCAATTACAACATTTAAATAAACTAATTTATAGTTATAATTATAACGATAACTAGAATTTATAATATAGCAAATATAGAACAAACGAAGCTACAAACTACAATTAGTATTATTAATTCATGAATCACACGTGGCTTTTATTAATAGCGTGGGCTGATTCCCAAGAATCCGCGGATAATATAGGTTGATAGGAAAGCCAGGAACTTTCCCTTCCCTGGGATAACCACCATTCAACAAACCCACCCACACGAGCATACAAGCATACCAATCTCATTCCCTGAAATATGTGAGGCGCACCAATCGAAAACGCTTATGCTAGGTGCGCATTAAGCGCAACGAGAGCTCGTAGTAAAGCAGGATAACATGCTTCGCATTGCACACTTCGCATCTAAACGCAATTTCCGTTTTATGCGTAGCATTGAATTATTATTACACAACAATGGATTACAATTCTGAAGTGTTTCACGCAAGGGAATTGTGATTATTATGAAAATATACTTGTCCCCCTATTATTCTCTAGGCAAATTGTTCCAATGCTATACACCGAAATGTACCATGAATAATATTATATTTATACAGCTTACCTACGTTGTTGATTTGCTTGTTCAATTTACAAGCATCGATTGCAAGTTTACTTAAAAAAAAAAGAACTAAAACTCTCAAGAGAACAATCTCTACAGCTATCGTATCGGAGTAACGCCGAACAATAGCGACTCGCAGCCCCCATGTTTGCATGAAATCTTTCCATCGATATGATTCGCAGAATACGTTGGGAAAGCTTGGCTAACTGTTTGAAAACAGGTTCGAGAACACTGTGTATACGCAAACTCATTAAAAGTTCAATATTTACGATGCATAAAACGAACGAATTAGCAGGATTTGTTGAATACCCAACATCCTCGAACAGTGAAACTGGCTATCGTGCAACTGCTTACTTCGACAAACTATTTTTATTTCATGGAAACAGCTTTTTCCGAAAAATGTGCTCCCTCGCGCGTAATCAATTTGAATTACGCGAGGGTCTCGCGTTTATTCGAACAATTATTCGAGGCATTCTATTCCTAAAGTCAGCTATACTGTTCGGAAACTTGGACATTTCCTATTATAAATAATACAAAAAGTATGATATTGTTTCTAAACTAGATTAGTAATACTCGCGGAATATTTTTCTCATACTTTCGAGTCTAATTCCACTGAACTTTTAGATTCCTATGTGAACTCTCGAAATTGTTCGGACCGAAGAAGCCACGCGGTTAAATTTATCGCCACGAACATATCCACGAACGGAGAGTTTGCGATCCTCTCGTGGAATCGTAGGACGCGGGATTCAACCTGAAAGGATGGGAAGCTCGGATAAGGAAAGAAAGTATACAAGACAGCGCCCACAAATGCAGAGGGTGATCTTTCACGAGATCGTGAATCGAGAGCTGAGAGACCCAGAAGAATCTTTCCTTGACCGTGTCGCCGACTTTTACGGTCGATCGTCTCCGAGAGCTTTTACGGATCTTGATGAGAGAATACCACCGCGATGTGTAAACCATGAGCGTCTCTCGAGCCTTTGAAACTCTTCGTTCCTCGGAAAAGCGAAGGTAAACGGATGGAAAATGGACTAAGCAGGTACGGCCTTGAAAATCGGATCACTTTCAAGGTTTCAAGTGACTCTCGAACGGGGTAACTCTAACACTTTGAACTTTTTAACGACTATCATGTGTGTAAAATTTGAAAAGATGTAAATATACAGCACGTTACGTTTAAGGATGGTCACTCATGTGAAAATCAACTGCCAGTAATTTTCTAGATTAAAATTTGAAAATAGATGGAATAAATGCAGTGTGTAAAATTGAGTTTGAAAATTAATTTTGAATGAATTAATTTTTGAAAAAAAATACATACATGTCAGGATTTGGGTGGTTTACTCTATGTATGAAATCTTCGTGCACATTAATCTTTTGAGGAACACAAAAAATCGAAAGATGCCCTACAATTTTGTCGCAGAGTGCAGTCGAGGAGGCAGACGGACAACCAATCTTGTCCGAACTCTGACTTTTCCAAGCAAGTGATTACACGGATTGCGGGAGCTTTAAACAGACCGACAGCAAGCGTTCCTTTGTCCTATCGCAAACGATCGGACGATCGGACGTAACGACACAAGACGAGGAACATACCTAATCGAATTTTGTGAAACTTGTTACGGCGCGTCTTACGGGAAGAGGGACTGCCTTTGTGGACGTGTTCTCCGCGAAATGCCAAAGCGAGAACCGTACAGACAATTAAAGATGAACAATGCGCCACGAACGCCGATGTCCTCTCGAAACTATGCTCGGCCGGAAGCACGCCTATACGGCTCGCTCCCCATCGTTCGAAGACCAAAGTCGTTCAAGTTCCAGGGACTTAAGTTCCGAGCGTAATTTCGCGTTTGTGGAAGCCACGGAAGACGCACGGGGCTGTTCCGTGATAAAAGTAGCCACGCGAAAAGGGAAAACCGTCGCTTTGTCCTCGAAGCATAAAGTCGGGCGCAACGAATAGCCATCACCGCGGTCCCGTGGCTTTTCGGGGGACGGAGGGGGCCAAACGAGGCCACTTTAATTTACGAAACTTGCTTGACATGCACGTCCAACCAGGAACGTTGATTTACTAACGTACGAGGGACTAAGCGAACCTATTTCGACAGGAAATCGAGCAGACATCGAGAGAGTGCTCGTGTGCGTGAGCCACGTACAAAGGGTTGGCCAGCCTACGCTGTGATCGGAAGCTGTCAATATTTGTTCGTGTCCGGTAACCGAGTAGCGAGCGATGAACCGTAACGTCATCAATTATCTCTTACATACCGCTGCTCCGTGCCCGTTGTCAAATTTCGTCTGCTTCATGCCCCGATAGGCTGCGACTTCCTGATATGGGGACCAACCTCGCGTGCCACGCCTCCATTGTCTCTTTCTACTTACCTAGAGTGCCGGCCAGATTTGAGTAAACCGATGGAAATTGTCTCTGGACCGCGGAGAACAATAATGACCCCGGTCGAAATTCCACCCTGGGTGGAAATTGCTCGAGCGGAATGTCGAGACCGGTCCTCCACCGTTGAATCGATACTTGGCCCGTATGATACGAGCAATGGTTCGGTCCTTGACGCGTAGAACCGCTCGCTGACTCGCGCGAATATCCTCCGGAGGGAATTGGAGGATTGCGAAAGAGGTGAACGAGGCTGGCGGAAAAAGAGAGAAGTAGCCGGGGATATTTCGTGGCGACGCGATTTCGAATGATACCGGGAATCGACCAACCACCTGGGATAATATTCCCTGGCAGTTCCATTGGATCTTTTTATTTCAAATTTCAATTTTTTTTTTTTTTTTTTTTTCATGAGAGAGAAATATTGTGGGTATCAGTTGGAATAACGGGGTAACACGTCTATTGTCAGAATTACAAACATGAATGCCGTATAGGAAGTGCTATAAAATAAATAAAAAAAAGAGGTAGTTCGACGGTTCTCATGATTCCAGTCCTCCCATTTATTTAAAAAATATATGTATATAATTTATTGTAATTTCTTGAAGTATTACCTTGAAAAAAATTAAAGATATCAGCTGTCACTCCTCGGAGGTCACCGTGAGACGTAGCTGTCCATGTACATTTTGACCACAGTTTTCATTCTCAATTGAAAGAGATATTCAGGTGGTATGTTTTAGGTGGGACACTCTATAAATCGTTTAAAAAGGACAAAATTATTTCTCCATGTTAAATATAACTAAATATAAATAATGAATCTAAAAAAACTCATGACTCTAAACTCATTGATGATCTCATTTGTCCCTGATGCAGGCTCAGTAGATGATGCTGAGGATTCTGAATGCTCGGGTATTCTAGATAGTTTAGCTTTGGATGTGTCATAGTCAGATGATTCTTCCATATCTGAAAGTGTTGAAATAAAACCTTCTTATGCAGGAATTAAATCGCTACGGAGAGTTCCTGGTAATCCAATCTTGTCCCCAAAGCCTTCCATAATGAGATTGATTAATACAAAAATTACTCCAATTAAATTTAAAGAAACAGATATAGAAGACTTACCACATTCCTGAATAATATCTTAAAGAAGAATTAATTTTTGAATGTTTCTTCACGCATTCAATCATCTCGCGAGCGAGCGAGTAGAGTGAGTGAGTCGTCGAAGGGTGACTAAATCACTTTGTCAGATGTTGGTTTGTCCCTGTCCACGGGCCACCCGCTGGGAAACTATGGCACGTGCGGTTACAATTGTCACAAAGTAAATCACAAACTAAAGGGTTAATTAAACCAACGTCAGCCAGGTGCTCGTGTAAATAATCATGCACCATCCGCGGAGTGTTCGTGTTTGTTCCATGTGTCACACTCAAGATGGAATCAAAGGTCAACGAGTGTCCTATCCTCTATAAGGTGCAAAAGATTTCATCCCGATTGGTCAAGCTATCTCGGCGTAATCGTTGAACAGACATTAAAAAAATAATATACGAATCGAATTTAGAGTACCTCCTCCTTTTTCGAAGTCGGTTAAAAAGAGGTACAATATACGATAGTGGGAAGTGACACAGGAAATTGCTTTGAAAATTCATATATTTAACTCTGTGGCTTCGTATTTATTTACAGATTTACTAATGTCATTGTAAACGAACTTAGCTGTAGCTACGCTTTGTTTAGTTAACATTACAAAATGTGCACTAACTTCTACGCGACATATAAGCTTCTATGAATTTGTTTTCATGTAATAATTTAAGTCACGTTTATTAGCTACTTCACTTAACTACCGCCAAGCTGCTGCACAAGCAACGCGCGAGAAGTAATCGATACGCGATGATGAGTTGTACTTGTTAAACAACAACTTGGCCGAATCTAAATCTAATACAATCAAACGTAAGCTTGACACAAGACAGTAGCTAAACATAGACATCGAGTGATTTGAAGATCTTTTAGTTCCTCTGCGTGCGCGACATGTTTTGTTATTCGGTAGACGTGATGTTAAAGCGCAAATGAAGCTGAAAAATGAACGGTTCACTAATCTCACGCTGGTTATCGAATGATCTAGTGATGAGGAACATATCTTGCAAATACTATACTGGCATAGTTTCTTCGTTTGTTTTATCAAAATGTTTCCATCTGTCGTTTATAAATCTAACACAGGAAACTGCTTCTTCGATGGTACAATGCTGGCAAAAAAATCAATGTCTTCAGAACCGCTTTAATCACTTTAATTACTCACTATAGCTACGTCTCTTTCGCTAAAGCGACTTCTACGGAACGATAAGGATATTGCACGCGATTGATCGCTCTCTCTCCCTCTCTCTCGCTCTCTGCACTCGTGGAAAACGTATCGAATATTTGAACGAAAGACCTGTGCAAACAATTACTTCCTTGCATGATCCATGCGCTGCAAGCATCAGCCAGCTGATTACACTTGATTAAATGCAATTATTTCGTTCGGTAAAATAGTAAAAGTCAATTTCAGACGAGATACTCTGCGTGATAAAAGGAACAACTTATTCAAATCGATGATGTCGGTATCCGATCCCTTCCTGTATACATCCGAGAGATATCGATCGCTGCTGTCTACGTTTCGATTCCAATCGTTTCGGCAAAGTTGTACGAGGCGTTAGGTAAAGAGATCGAAGCTAACGTGAAACATTAGCTATAATTTCGGTATCGACTGTGAAGGCGGGGGTGCTGTGAGGTTTTGAAACTCGTCAAATGATTTCTTTGCCACGTTCTGAAGATCGTCCATGCTGCGCATCGTGATATTCGTGATGTCGTCCAACTGACGACGCGTTTGGTTTAGCAGATCGTCCGTCGACTTCGCCGCGGTAGATGCGATATCTTTCATCTCTCCGTGGATTTTCTCGATCACCCATTCCACCGCCTGCCGTCCCTGAAACGCAATTGTGCTGAAGACACAATGTTCCATGCAAGCAGCAAAGTTCATTTGCACGCGTGTGCGTCGCAATTTCGGGTTCATCACAAAAAGATTGCGGATTTTATGCATTTATGACTTACAGTAATATGTTGACTATGTATGTTAGAGTATAATTTTGTAAGAATAACTCCTTAGAACGTCGTCTAAAGGTGAACATATTATACATGTGTGAATTTATTTCTGATCAGCTACAAGATTACAATATCAAAAACAGTTCATCCATATTTTTCTTAATTCGCGTGTTTTTAATAAGCGTTTAATTAGTGTAGCAATCAAAAATTAATATTTTCGTAAACGCGAAATACATGTATATACGCAGACTTACTTACCCAATGCAAAAAAATTCAATAAAATAAATCCAAACACCATTTTACACAAAAATCTTGAAAAACTACTTTCTTCGGTCTCTCGATTAGTATAAGCCCCTAAATCGACGAGCTTCAGAAGTTGTACGGAAAATCAGAAAAATATAGAACCACTTACCTTTTTGGCGTTTTGTTCGATAGTCATGGTCAGTAACCTCTCCAAATAATCAATGAGTGGCACACCTGAGATGGAGATGACCGCCTGTTGCGTTAACACTGTTTTCTGGGAGTCTTGCGGGTCCGGCATGTATTTAACTTCCTCGCCGACTGAGACGTGTTTCCCCAGGCTCACCTGCAACAAAAATACAAATCTCGAATTGAACGATTTCTTGAAATTCTTGTCATTAGGCAATTACTTTGATAGATTGTATCTACTTTGTCGATTTAAGTATTTACATCAATACAGTCAATGTATTAAACTCTATTGCGTTCATGTTTTTTTCGCTTATTTGCCGGTGCTTTAAACTTTGGTAAAATTGATTTTTAAATAAAATATTATGATAATTATTAAACAATAACTTTTTTTTTTAATAATACCTCAAATGCATCCTATTTTACAATTTCTGAAAGTTTCACAAAAATTGCTTCACAAATAATAAAGTTACGATGATTTTAGTAACGTACATGTTTGCCCAAAAACGTGCGATCCTAGACGCATGTCTTGCAGATTTCTTAGCGGTCCTTAATGTGTTAAGTGTATCGTATGAATAGGAGGCGCTATCCCTATCTACAATATCGAGATGATAATGAAGTAAAGAAATTACTACTACTACCAGTACTACTACTACTACTACTACTATTAATACTATTCGCACCCTTTTTGCAATATTTTACAATAGTTTTTAAAGTCCAATTAAAAACAGGAACCAAATTCTACTATCCTTCATTTCGGAGAAATTCTATAGTGAAATTTCGCTCGGGTCTCCCCCGACCCAGGTCGCGGAATAATTCATTTTCGTATCCCGCGAAATGAGAATAACTCTCTGAACGGAGAAAAATAATTAGGTGATCCACTTTGATGGAGATCACTCCGCGGAAGAGCCAAGTACAATAGGACCAGAGACGAGAGGAGGCGACAGTTGCAATGGAAGGGAAGACACAGCGCAACAATTGCACGTTTCGCATTTCTCGAGTTCACTTTTATCCTCGCGGTGACGAGGTACCGGTTCGTACGGGGGTAATGATGATGACGCGCGCTCGCCACTCCGAAAATTGCATCATTATGAGCTGCGTGCGACTCATTCGTAGCGGTGCAGCGTGAAGCACTATGGCCGCGGAACTGGAACAATTGAATCGCGAGGGTGCAATACGTTTCACGGGGGAATTAACACCCGCGGGCGTATTGTGGAGCCCACCCTGGTCGAGATAGAGAGGCACGGTCCTCTATGCTCTCCGCCATATTGGCAATCAGTGAAGTCGACTGTGTTACATCGCGACTGCCTTCCACCCCCTCGATTCGCGGTCACCCCTCCCGCGATCTTGTGACTTCGTCGCTCACATACAATCGGAGGACTTGGAAAAATTAAAGTCCCGTTTCGAATAGCGTTTCATCAATTACGCGGACCGCGAATTTCGGAAAATGGTTTAATTCGCCTAACGAACGGGAATCGCTATTCATGCTCCGACCCCCTTCGACACTGTCGAACACAGTTCTTTGTTCTCGCTATCGGCGAGCACGCTGACGACATCGCGTGAACGTTATTTCCGTTTGACAAACCCATTTTGTTCTTCTTCTCGTTTATAACGAATTTTTTATATTTATTTTGCTGGAATATGTTAGAACATTTACCATAATTCAACCTGTAATTTTACTATAAAAATAAATGTACTGAAAGTATACGTACAATGTATGTACAGTGAGTTCCATAATTATCCATACCATCTGTGTCTATTACAAGAATTCGTCCCAATTAAATGATAGGTTTCATTTGGTTGTTTCTAAATAAATATTTCTTTATAAATATGTACATATTTATAAGCATTACACATGAATATTTTTATAATGAAGAATTTCATTGAAAACATCAAACTTATCATTTCGTTTAGATTAAAGACTGACGCTCTAGACCTGACTCCCTCCAAACATTTACCAGTTCGCCGCGGCGTGCGCTGTTCGTCTCCTTGGCGCCCAAGTTTCGATTTTAGTTAACGACTTTCGGCCTAACCGCACTGCTAAACGTGACCGTACCGCAATGTTGCGGTAAATGAAAAGCAAACGCCGTGCCTGCTGCGGAGACCGAGGGATTGGCAAACATCGGTTTCGACGCGCGGCTGACGAGAAAAATTTCAATTAACCGATGCACTAGAATAGGGAAAAGGAGGAGGCGATGGGAACGGGATCGACGATGTACGCTTTTCGTACTCTACTCTCGTCCGAAAAAAGGTGAGAATTAATTACTTCGTCGTTGACGCCAGGTCCGAGAGGGGATCGATCGTCTGCTTGATAGGATTTAATCGCGCGCCGAGCATTTACTTTTTGTTTTATCGTGTTTCTTTTTACTTTTGCGCGGGTTGGTGCCGACACATCGCTCTTGTTTTCCATTCGTGCTCGTTGAAACGCAACGAAGACGATTACGTCGCCCCTTGTGCCGAATGAGTTGCGAGGGAATGCTCATAGACAAAGTTCGTCTTCGGACTTTTACTGCGGAAAACGAATTTAACGCGACATTGAAGCGAGAATCGCATTTTCAACCCTCTCTTACGAAACTAGATCTAACTTGGAGTGGGTATTTATGCCACTTAACGCTTATTATCGTCGTGGAATTCATAGTACAATTTTAAGTAAGCTCAACGAAGTTTTTGAAGGTGTTATTACGATACTATTCAGGCCATATCCTAAACTTTCTCTTTTCTTATTCTGCAGTGACAGATATACATATAGTACAGATTGTACATACACTCTCAGTACATTTATTTTTTGTAGCAAAATAAGAGATTCAATTATAGTAAATATTCCAACAATGCACGTACACAGTTCCTATCTAGAAAATTAAAATCAGGATCGACCCTGATCAGACCAGTAGAACAAGTATCGGACTATGTTTCATAAGTAGAATGCGCCTCTCACAGGCCAGACAGGTTGAAATGTTATCCACATCATGAAAACAATTACATGCTCATTAATATAAATACATTCGTGTCAATTTCCAAACACTCTCTTAAGATATCAAATGTATATATTGCATGTTAAAAAGTATAAATTATGAAGTGAAAAAATAATTTTTAAAATTAAGAGCTCAAATTTTACAGGAATATTTATATATTTGGAAGGTATTTAGAAGGTGCGTAACATAGATTTAAAAAATCATTAAAATATGGACCGGCCTACTGTTCTCTGTTCCCGAGGGGAAAGAGCCTAAATCTTGGCGAAGGTACTAATGGCATTGTTAGGAAAGAGGAAGGTAAACTGTCGCGCAAACACCGAGCGTGGTGCTCTCCAATCAAGAATTCTGGGTGATTCCGTTTCATCGTTCGCCAATATAACGAGGATAGAGCGGAAGGGTAGCCCGGCACGGTGAAGGGTCGTTGTGCCGGTTAAAGAGCCTTCTTCAGTGTGCAGTGTGCACTTGCGAGTAATTAGCATCGCCGCATAATTGAGAGGACTTTACAATCTGGCTGGAGGCGGCATTGTTCGGGGTCTGGGGTATGCTCCCGACTTGGCCGTACCATTCGATGCCTCAAGAGGGTGCCACAGCCGGAAGCCCAAATCTACCATGACGTAACGTCGGAAACTGGATCGACCTCGATGGAGTTCGACCTCGGGCTTTCTCTCGCTCGAGGTAATCGCCGATTTCAGCGGATTTCGGGGAGATTGGGAATCGTGTGCTGACAAATCCGTATTAGATCGTGTAAACGGGGGCTTCCAGTCATCTACTCTCAGCTGAATAGATACGCGCGGTTTCCTTGCACATTCGATTCAATTACTTGTTTCCACGTCTATATACATTTCTGAACAAACAGTGGGCCGCGTTCGTGGTCCAAATCGATACGCTCGACGCTCTCTTGATCCGTATGAAATATTATGCAGGCTTTCAACGTGCGATGATCATTGGCCCTACTCGACTGCCACCGATTTCCCTACGCATTGAAACGTGTCGATTCCAACAGCGACGGCAGCACTGCTTGATAAAAGAAATTACCGTGGATGATCGAATTATTATTGACATGAAGGAAAAATTATTTTTAGAAAAGTTTAACGCGTTGATCGCCACGTTAACTACGTATGACCGACAGGAACGTTAACTAAGGAATTCAAAAATCAATTCTGAAAATCAGGTATCAGGTGTTAAAGGAAACAAGTCGGAAGTCGAAAATGTAAATTTGAAAAAGTTCTCCTTTAAAATAGTTTAAAGAAAAAATGATATCACTCACTGTCTAGTCCGTCATATTTACTTGAACATATTTTTTTTTTATCTATGATAAAAAAGATAAATTTATTTCATAATTTGGTACGCCTAGTGATGTACGATAGTTTCATTAAAAAATCTAATTTTTTAGAAATCATTAATATATTTCAAAATCAGCCTTACATATTAAGTTGAATGCTTGTATTGTAAAATTACGCTTTATTTTTTATAAAAATATGTATTTAAATTGCGAAACAGAATTCTTGAGTTTTGCCTGTAACAACTGCGTGTATCCCCTTAAATCAGTCTCGTCTCGCGACTCCATATTTCAATCGGTTGAAAAAGTGCTGGCGCTGGCTGCACACGCGTCCGCGCATAAAAATTCCCCGTAAATGGTATGGTGGTCGCGCGTTCGAGAAACAAGAACCGACCCTATACCGCGTTCAGCCGCCGCGCAATTTGTTCTTTTTATGATTTAGTGGGCTACGCGTACAATAATTCAGTCGCCAGGCACATCCAGTCGGCCCCGTCGCGCTACCCCAAAACGCAACCCTCTCGAGTTCTCCATCAGCAAAGTCCACGGGGAGTCCCCGAACACGGCCAGGATACATCACCGATACACGCGTCCGTTATTAATTCTCGTCCGATGCCACCCGCTCCGTCCCCGCCGCACACCTACTATCCTTCTATATCTCCCGTGTCTCGGGTTTTCGCGCCTGCACGCACGGAAATTCGTGCCAGAACGAAGAAGGGATTGTTAGAGAGAATACACTAGTCGTCGCGGGTAAAATATCGTTCCGGTTCCCTTCGTGCACGGCAACGTATTGCGGTGAGCCCCGAGCGGAGGCCCGTTTCCACGTGCGCGACTCTTGATTGATCTATCGGCTTCGGTTTTTGCACGATTACGGAAAACTCGAAATTAACTCACAGGTTAACCCTTTGACTGCGAAGGACTTTTAAAAAATATCAGCTTATAGGGAATGACGTGACGAAACTTTTTTATATTAACAGTTTATTCATAGGATGCTTAGTTTTGAAAATAAAAATTATAAACAAGTTGGTTGCGAAAAGTTGAAATTCAGGAAAAAGATCTTGAAAGTTTTCAATTTCTATCTCTGCCCGAAATATCCTGACTATAGTAATATTAGTCCAATAAAAGTTTCGAGTTTCCAGTCAAATCCCGAAATTCAGGCACCCGCTGCAGCAAAATTTAAAACAATAACGCGATTAACTTAACGCGATCGAGCGTCGCGCGTAACAATGTTGTAATACATCTGCTGGATAATCCGATAATATATCCACCGACGCGGACGAACGCGTCGACGGGAAAATATTCCATCGTTTTTTCGCGAGCGCTCGTATTCGTCGCAACGCGACTCCCCGAGCGCGACGATGCATTGTTTCAGACATCACGATATTCACAGACCATCGGGGCGCAACACGTATCGAAACGGGGTATTCAACGATTGTGTCTCCCTTCAAGATCTGGTCGATAGAAAATCTCTATAACGTCGAACAGATGTGAAATTCGAAACGATCGCTGCTGTGTAGGTGGAGTGGATCTATAATTCCCAGATATAAGATCCCAGATTTTCCAAAGAATTACCATTCCGCCAAAGAGTTAAAGTAATCTCCACTTATGTCGATATAATTTCTAGTAATATCGTTTCAGATAACGTCAAAAATGTGTTATATTCATAACTTTTCATTATTTTAACAGAACTCAATTGCGTAAAATAATCAACACAAAACTTTCTTTTGAAACTGAATTTCAACGTTAGCGTTATAAGACTGTCTTTCAAATGCTCTTCATACTCTTCCATTCGAAACTGTTTTTTCCACGAAAATTTGTCAACATTGCAGTAATTCTGAGAGCAATATGCACGCGAAATTGGATGATCATGTTACTGCAAGATGACGCTCAGCCCTACACGGTGGGTCAAAGAACAAACTCGAGAAGTTATTTCAAAGTTTCCATGGGATCAACTTCATAAGTCACTGTATACGATCTTTTCTCATTCTTGTGCATCCTCGATCGACCGCTAAAGCCGGTACCATACGTTAGGATACATCCTGTATATGACTGATGCGTTTAGGTTGAACGATACGATGCCGCATTACGTTCCAACAGCGGAACGATACGTATGCGTCCCGCGTAACGTATGCAGCACCAGCAGCGGCCCCTGTCATGGATCCGGAGAGGGGCAAGGGATAGGGATAAATTGCTAAAAGATATCTCCCCCTTGGGATTCGACGGGAATAGGTTATAACCTGGCCCGGACTCCGTCGAGCTTATGCAGAATACACTGGTTACATTACGCGTGTGTACAATGTTGTCTGTACTCGTTTGCTCGCGTGCGTATGAGAACTCGCCAAACAGGACAGATACAGGCAGAGAAAGCGTCGTCGATGTCCCGCGGGGAATTGCTCAATTTTAGTTAAACCTCATCCCCAGCCCCTCGGGGAGCAGGAAACGCGGAAACGCGTCCCCGTAGATTACGCAGGCGTGAGACGATCAGCGGGGAAATATCAGGCGGTGCTTCCTGCTCCCGTCTCTGACCTTAATTGGAAAGACGATGGCGGGAAAGAGGACGTCAAGGATCTTGAGGGACGACGGTTACTTCCTCTGTCCTCGAAGGATGAACGATCCACTCGTTTGAGAAAATTCAAATACAAGTAACAGACACAACAGTAAGGGGGGAGACGAATATTTGTGCTATTTTTGTAATGTTTAGAAGAATCCAATCCACGCAAAGTTTCGTATATATCTAAAATACTTGATACTACAGGTATTCGGTTCGTCGGATTACTATAAGTAAAAACGATCGACGTAGCCGCCTGTCGTAGATGGAGGGGCTCCGCTTTTTCCACAGAGTCACCTGCGGATCGTTCATCATATCAGTAATGTATCGAGCATCCTGGTCTCTCTTTTCTCCTTCCTTGGCCGAGGATCGGGCCAAGGAGCGCGAGAACGATATTTGACGCGTACAAGGAGCCACGAGCAATGCTCCTCTACCTTTCCTTCGCCGTTTTCCGCCCTGTCTTCCTAAAACCCTCCTGGCGCATCCCTCCGAGGAGACCACGAAGCTATGCAGCCTCCGGTAATGCGCGCATCAATAACCTATCATATCCAGCCTTCCAGATGCGATGCTATGCACCCCAGCCCTAACACGTGCCGATTTCTCCTGGTCTGTAAATCGAGTAAATGTATCTGCTTTTCGAACTGGAAACGTCCAGCGTCCAGAATTTTTTGCGTCTGTATTATATGCTGAGAATGAAAGGACCGATGTCGTAACTGCTTTGGCTACGTTCAAAAACGTCTCGTTAAATATACAGGGTATCCCAGCCTAAGTGATACGGAGCTCTAACTCCAAAACTATCGACCGAATGCATAATTTCAAATATGGAAATTCCATGGTAAAATGGGGCTCATGTTTCAGCGCGAAGGAATTTTTGTTAACTTTGTTATTTAACGTGATATGATGGTCAAGTTTCGTTTTTCAAATGGAACTATATATATTTTTTTTGTATACCATGCGATAGTACTTTTCAAGACGAATTCATTAAGTTTTAATGTATTTACCCGATTTTTATTAGTTTTCAAGTTATAACGCTTCAAAGTTTGCTAATTCTCAAGGAAAAATTTCGGTTCGGCTCATCAATTCAAAAGAAAATTGACGCTCTAGACTAAAATACCCCTTTAATTCAATTTCGATGCGTCGCGTAACATAATTTCACGATTTGTTGCCAAGTATGAAACAAGATTCGCGCATCGAATATCGAACCGCCCGTCCTCAATTTATCTCACTTCAGGAAGATAAATTACAAACGCGTGCAAAGTACTTTGTCCAGTAATGCGCGCGCAATAAAGTGTAAATGCAATGCAATAACCATACGAACGTGTTTCATAGAAGTTCGTATTCGACTGATTAAACGTTGTATGAGATATTTCGATTCAGGAAATGAATTAAGTGAAAATGACCGGTGAAACTATTCCTGCGTTTCAGACCCTCTATTAGTACATATGTATAGTATATCGCAACTGAACGGACAATGGGAAATATCGATTTATCAGAACCGTACATTTTTCGGCATACCGTGCTTCGCAAAACTCTCCGTACACGAGAACAAAATTTAGTCGATTTAATTTTACTAGTACTTTAATAACAATTTTAAATAATGTAATTGGGTATAATTAAGGTAGAGTTCATATATTTGAAAATCATCTGTCATTGTAAGCATCTGTGTTTATTATTATATATCACTAATTACACTTTATTTAGTACTATTGAAATATCAATAAAATTAAGTTCAACGAATTCCACCATCATATTATATACGAACACTTTTGCGAGCCATTGTACGTAACTCGTGAATAAAACGTCCGATAAATGGTCGACGTTTAGAATATTGAAATGAAATTTAATCGACGAGCATAATGAAACTCGTTTTCAAGACTGACGTCTAAGGGATAATTATGCATTATTAAGTAATAGTAACAAGGAGCTGTTATTAACGGGATTGTATAAAACGTTTTCAGTGCTTCAAGTACTGCTATTATACTTTTCATAGAACAGTAAACACTCCTATAACGCGGTATGTACATTCAGAACGCGGTTCTCATATTATGCGAAGCAAAAATTGAAACGACCTACCTATAACATGGTACAAATTATACCGTTTTCTACTAATTCTGAGTTTCTTATGACACGGTAGGAATTATTATATTTTGTGCTAATTTCGAGTTTCTTATAACGGTATGCGGTTTCCGTAAAACACAGAACGAATTAATTGTGTCACAGGAAGGTTGACTGCTTAACAAACAACGATAATGAAGAAGCAAATGTAAGTACTTACGTTCACAGTTTTCACCACCATTTCCCTAGCCATTGGATCAACTTCGCTCCATTCGCTAGCGTAGCACGGACCCTTGTGCCCTACTAACTGGAACAAAGGAGAAAACTATAAGCGACTTTTTAACAGACTTCGAAAAGGAGGAGGTTACTCGATTCGACATGTATATGCATATATGTGTATATATTTTTCTTTTTTATTAATGTATGTTCCGTGATTACGCCAAGATGGCTTGACCAATTGGGATGAAACCTATTGCATCTTGTAGAGAATGTCTCTTCGGTGGTCTCTTCCCGTTATCGAGACATTTTGCGATTTGTCATTTTTTATCCGTTTTCTTTGCAAAAACCAAAAAATTTTATACTACTTCTTACTCCGAGACCGATGGACCAATCGGATTGAAACTTCTTCCACTTGGTAAAGCATCACTGCCACTTGGCCCCATAAAAAAATGTGGACTTATTTTATTTTTTACCGCGTTATATCACTTTTTACCGGTACAAGCGTACTGAAATCGGTTGAAAACTTCGATATGTTCGACCGTTTTGAAAAAGTGTCCCTCTAATTTTTCATTCACAGTGGTATAGCTATATTCAACAATATTATAATTAGGTTGACATAATATAACGTTAACCGTGGGTATATAAATTAGTTAATCGATTCAAATTTATTAGCATAAGAACTTATTCGTTATTTGAAAAGCGTCATCGAAGAATAAATCAATAAACGTCGACATTTCGCATACACCAAATATTAATTAAATATACTTTAATAATTAAAAAGAAGTCTGATCACGTCGGTACAAATACAGCATCTATATCATACATTTTACATAGACGTAATTTAACATAGCAATGAATAAATCAATAAGAATGTCGAAATAATTAACGTACTCAGAATACATATCTATGATTTGGCATTTGTTCGTAATTGATCATATATTTCGTTGATTGAAAACACCTTGATTACAGGACTGTGGGAATTATCGCAAAGCCCTTCATAACGATGTACAATCATCCCAATATTCAGTTCCAAAGGCGAACCTTATTATCAGATTGCATGTGGTAATTTCTCAAAAATATTCATCAATCCAACAGCGACTCGCTGCGAGGTAGTGCATGGGAATATTACAAGTAATGTTACGAAATCTACAAAGTACCGACAACTGTAATCCATTTTTGTTCTCACCTTATTGATTGTGTCACTGTGTTATGCTGTATTACGTTGCATTACACTCTTTTATACAGTATTATTTCATATTATACTCTATTATTCTGTAACTCAAGTTCACTACGATTGAAACACCTATGCGTTTTCGTGTAATCAATGAAAAGTCTAGATTGATTTATACACCTGGTGCTTTTAGTTACGAGATCACTAAGAAGGTAAAAAAGGCTAACTCAAATTGGAACGAGCCTTTGCACTTTTCTCTGCCGTCAAGTAATTCCAAGAATGCCTAAACGCGGAGTAAAGGCGATCTCCTCTTACCTTTTAGTTACTGTGCATTCGTTATATACGGAACTGTGATTCGAGGCATTCGTGCGAGTGAACCGGCACAACGGAACGGCTTTGCGAAATGGCCAAGCTTATAGAAAATCCTGCGAAAGGAAGCAATTCGCCGAGCCGAAAAGGATTCGAAGCTAGAATCTCCCAACCCCCCTCGCCTACCCTTCCCGTTGGCTAGGGAAGAACCAGGGATGCTAAGGAAGGTTGTAAGAGAGCCGATGTGTATTCCAAAATGCAGGCGTCTAGCTGGATGATTGCCAAAGAGCGGAGCGTTGAGGGGGATGGAGAGACACTCATTATGAAAGTTGATACCGTCGATGTCGTTGTTTTGTAATTCTCTGTCTCATCCCGCCCTCTACCTTCCTCCTACCTCCTTCGCGTCTTTTTCTTGCTCTGCGTTGTCGAAAGTTTCCAATTTCCTGCTATGCTACTGCCAGTGTTTGTATAGATTATTTGGTCAAACGGTGTGAAACTGTTTGTTTTGTCCATAAACTAGCGCCAGCCAAAGAAACGGCTTCATGACCCCGCTTGTAGATTGATTTCTTACACGGTTGAACTTTCAGATAAATAAATCTACGGTTTAGCTTTACGCGTATGGTGATCGTTACACTTATACCAGAGACTCTAAACGTGGACCATATGATTCCTCAACGGGGCAAGCTGTATTTCTTGAAGAGATATGTATAAAAAATATGAAGAAAATGAGAAGCCACAATTTCCGAGTGAACGAGAATTTTAAAGATACATGTAACCATTAGTGTTGTTATTATTCCCATAACAAAAGTGTAACAATTATAATATCCACGTCCAGCTTCAAACGCTACCAATTATAATATACAGTGTGTTCATTTAAAGTCTTTCCCGCCAAAATCTCGAATATCTCGAAAAGTAAGGAGGAAAGAAGGATGCAGTATCGGTGTTTTATTTAGGTCGAGTTTTCAAGGTCATTTGAAGATCAACTTTATTTTCATAAACGGATTAGATATTTTGATTATTTAATTATTATTGTAGTCTTGTAGCTGACAAAAAGACATTCAAACATGTATAATATGTTGGAGTATGATTGTGTAATAATCACTTCTCACGAAGTCAACCAAAGGTCAATATACTATACATGCTTGAATTCGTCTTTTTATCTGCTACAAGACTACAATAATAATAAAATAGAATGAATAAAATTTAATGAAATTTTTAGAATTATTAGAATTAAGAGAGTGAATTAAGACTAATACCCATCCTAATTACAACACTTGTAGGAACATATGGGGAAAAAAATGAACATTGACAAATTGGTCCACTTTATCCGGTTACAACGTCTGTTGTATTATGAAGGAATTAAGTTTTGAATTGTTTTTCTCATGCTACGTTCGTCATGCGGGCATATATACTTTCTGGGACACCCTAATATTAACCGCAAGCAACTTCCTGGTTTACCATCGGCGGCATATCGCCAATTCTCTTTTGCGTATCCAACGAACGTAACAGGCGACTCGTGATACCGCATCTTCTATCATTGCTTAGAACATCTGCAGAAAAATTGTGTAACGTGTGGCATTATTTAATTCGAAAAATATACAGCTAAGACTTGCAAGGATAAAAGGTCAAAAATGCTGCCCTGATAAAGTCGAATGCGAACGAATAACTTCGCGGCCACTCCACAAGAGTGCGCTGTTGCAATCGATAAGACTAGATAGATAAGCTTCGGCAAGGTTGACGTACCCTATTCTGCTATTATCGACCAGCATGCTCGACTTTGAAACTTTAGCGACGTTGCGCGATATCAACGCTCACGTCGCCTTACCATGTACTAACAATGAATTTGCTGGAAAAGTTGGAATCGTTACCATCATGATATCTTACTTTTACATAATTGTTCATTCATTGTGTGCAAGATTTGTCCCATTTAGCAAAATGATGTTGAATACGAATAAACATTCCAGAAACAAAGTATGATTCTGAGTTAGGCATATATACTATAACATTGTACAATTCATACTGTTTAGAATTGATAGTTCATTTTTTATATTGAACGACCGAACTTGAAACAAAAAAGAAAATTAAGATTTGAACGATACAGTGTCTCAACGACATGCAATATTCTATACATATTCTATGTATAGATAATAAGATAATAAAGTAATTCAATTAAGAGAATCCCACATCTTTAGACAAAAATATGTGAACAACCAAGTACACTATATTCAAATATGTAAATTATAATTTGTAATGAATATTGATTGAATTTGTAACGGTTTTGATACATGGCACATATAGTGTCGTACTATACTATTCTCTACGCAAAGTATGATTAGAGTCCAATGATAGTCTATGCAAAAATGGTACATATACCTGTACCTTGTTTATGTAATCAGATTGACATAAACGACACATGATTCAGATGCAAATAATTTTGTACTTTAAACGGAGAGGTTATGTTAACACCTTGTTGGAAAGATCTTTAATGACTTTCAAGTACTTACTCGTAATATCCATGTAGGAAAACGCCACTCACTGGTGACCAATCTGTGTGAATATAAAACACCGTCCTTGACTCGTCTTTCGATGACATCTGTTCCCAAAACGCATGGGTTTACGGGGTTGGGATATTTTCTATATGCTGCCTTTACCACAGTCTCCCATGGATGCCTAAAAATTCCAGAACATGTTTCAATTTCTAATGCCGTGCATAATTACTATATGAAATTGTTATATTGTCACAAAAATATTATAATATATTTCCACATCATAGCCTTGAAAGTTATTAATGAATGAAATTTCTATACATGACACTCACTCAAACGTGTGATATGACGTCCACATCTTCATATTTATATAATTTTTCCTGTCTGACACAACGTTAACACTATAATTTAAACTAAAAACGGTCACATACAAAATTACATACGACTCCGCCACAGCAAGGTGCGTCTACTGACTACGAATGACGAAACCTAATATTACTTAGACGACCGTAGAAGACAATTGCATTGCAATTTGCAATGAACTTTGTCGTCTCGTTCTATATTCATCTGTCAACAGTTGGTACGCTTGATCACCGAATATTGGTCAGTGTATCAAGTGCACGCCATTAGTTGAACATCTTATATTACGTCACGCAATTCAAAAATGAATTTCTCAAACAAATACAAGTTTCCCGTTAATTTTAAAGTGAGTTACATTTGTACAACAAATCGAGTACATTGTTATCCCAGGAAATAAAATAAAATATACTTAAAAATAATTAACGACTCCATTTATATTTCGATCATAAATAAACTTTTACAAACGTGGATGTTGGTACAGTAATTTATAAGTAATTTTCGCGCTACGTTTACTTTCCATGATATTCCAAAATACTTTCTTACAATACTTTAAACAGTAAGAGGTAACAAATAAAATAAAATAAATCATTTACTTTGTAAAGTAAATGATTTCACGTGCAATGAACAAGTGTAAATGAAACATGTTAAATTTAAAATGCTATTTTATCAGCAAAGGTGTTGCCCGAAAGTTTAGAAGTTTTCTAGAAAGAAATTTGTGTGTTCAAGACCAAATGGTAAATACATTTTAACATTCTCTTCTTTCTGTACTAAATTTTCCGTATGGTGTCCTGAAAAAAAATGAAGAAAAAATGCTACTATTCTCTAATATATAAAACCTGCCTAATTGGGGATGGGAACCCAATAAAAACAATCGTTATAATAATAAAGTTATTAATGATTTCTTGCTTACTATATAATTTACTATTACCCTAATTCAAAAAAGCAGCTGTAAATTAGAGATGATGTTCAATTGCACATTCAATTCAGTATTGGTTGAAAATACCTAATTTTAAACAGTTCTAGAAATAGATAAACTTTGTTTGTGACATCTTACCAATAATAGTTTGAAATTTTCTTTGGTCTGATTTAATGTTTAATGGCACTGCAGGTTGTGGACCTTTATGATTCATAATAATATTTTTAGCAAATTCTAATGCACTATATACAAGACATGACTTTGGTGCTCTAGCTAAATATACAACACATTGTCCTAAAAGTACATCACATTCTGGCATTCCAATCATTTGACATCCATGCATAGTATGAACAGCTATTCCTAATATAAAGAATTGTTAAATATTATTTGTTTTATTAATATTATTAGATAAGTATTAAATACCTATCTAATGAATACAAATACACATTGTTTATTTTTCAAAATACATACCTAAAGCATCTGGATCTGCTAAACCAATATTTTCACTTGAAATTCTGACCAATCGTCTTGCTATATCTACAGGATCTTCTTTGGCTGCCATAATTCTTGCTAACCAATATAAAGATGCATTTGCATTACCACCTTTAATCGATTTATGCAATGCAGAATACAAATGATGAGAGTTATTAGATTCTTCATCAGATAACATATGTGCCTGTTTAAGACTTTCTTTAATATCTTCAAGAGTTATCGATGTAAAATGGGAAGGGTTTGGATTATTTAAAACTTTAGTTTTAACTGCTAATTCTAAGCCATTCAGTGCAACACGTGCATTTCCATCACATACTTCTGCTAACCAGTTAGTTACTGTTTTACTAATAACAAAGTCTGGTTTAGGAGTAAAGCTTAGTTTATTCTGCAAACTATTTGATTGCATTTTATTTTGAGGATCATATATTTCTCCATTAATAGATGAAATTGCTTTACAAATTATTTCCAGTATATTTGATGTTGTTAATTTATTTAGAACAAATACACGACATCTACTTAATAAAGCAGAATTTAAACTGTAAGATGGATTTTCTGTGGTAGTTCCAATTAGTGTAAATGAACCTGCCTCTATATGTGGTAGAAATATATCTTGTTGAAGTTTATTAAACCGATGTATTTTATCCATAAATACAATAGTTTGGCAATGTTTAAATTCATTTTTTGCTGTCTTAACAACATCTTTTATACTAGCAATACCAGATGATATTGCAGAGAGTTTTACAATGTGTACTTCGTCTGCATATACTTCCTTGCATAAATGTGATATGACATTGGTCAAGGATGACTAAAAAAAATTTAACCAATAAGTTTCATTAGAAATTGAAGGTATACAAAAATTAATAATTATGTTACCTTTCCACATCCTGGTGGACCCCAAAATATCATGCTGGGAATACGTCCTTTTTTTAGTAGTTGTTGGAGTACTGTATTAGAACCGACAACATGTTCTTGGCCTACATAATCAATAAGGCAAATAGGACTCATTTTATCAACAAGAGCAACATGTTTTTTATTTGAAATTGTTTTATAATGATTTATATTTGACATTTTCGTTATAGGGCTGGTATTACATTTTTTTGATAAATTTGTATCAACAATTTCTCTATCAAGCAAAGGTTTTTTTGAAGACGATGATTCCTGTAAAATTTCATTTGATGAAAGACATAAGTCCACGTGATTTCCTATATCTTGTATAGCATATTCTCTTCTACAAAGTGGACACAACATTCTTAGATTCTTTTATATATTTTTGTATTTTTGTATTTAGACAGTATTTAGAATGTAATGGGCACAACCACAGACCACAGCCTACTCTAGTCAACTCTAGTGCAGAGATGGGCAAAACCCTATGCTTCGAATAAATTTGATGTTTGCCGATGTTTTTATCTCGTTTCTTTCTTTGGAAAATGTTCAAAAGAGGAAACTAGACAAACTATCAGCAAACTTCAGATTTATTCGAAGCCTAGGGTTTTGTCCATCTTTCTAGTGAATAGGACTCTCGATCTGGACTTCAGCGGTGTTTCCACGTTTCTCTAGTACTAACGCTAGTACTAAAGTCGGCTGTGACTTTATTTGTCGAATAGAATATATATTGTGTTAGCGCAAATATATAATGTTAAAAATGAACCCGAACTTTACGTGCGTAACGTTACGTTTATATTATTAATTGTTACTAAATATAACGGTTAGCAAAAGTATTATGGTCCTAGTTGAATTTCTAGATTTTCAGTAAGAGATGGGCAAAATCCTAGGCTTCGAATAAATCTGAAGTTTCCTGATATGTTTGTCTCGTTTCCTTCTTTGAAAAATATTCAATATATATCGGCAAACTTCAGGTTTATTCGAAGTCTAGGGTTTTGCCCATCTCTGTTCGATAGAGTAAAAGATTTACGCGGTAGCGTGGTAACACTGATTCGGAACTTCTCTTTTTCAATCGTCTAATCGAGCGTGTACGTTGCTGTGATAAACAAAATTGTAAATCGCAGGTAATCTTTTTGTCTAAAACTCATCCGATATAAACTGATCGCGAATTACCTACTAAGTTTAACGAACAATTGTTCGATGGTAATATTTTGTCGAATTTAGTGTTGAAAAAAAGTATGTAGGCCCTATAGTGCTCAGTGCAGTAGAACCTGGAAAGTTGTTTCTCGTTATTGTTTTGTTCACTGAATTTAGATGATGTAATTTACAATCGATCAACGATCCATTTAAATTAAGCGTGACGCTTGCATTTGCGAAAAGACAGAATCGCATTGTTACAATTTATTTTGTGTTCGTTATAGGTTATGTTTTTGTGTCACTCTAAGAGATATATAATCAAGCGGTCTTTACTGCATTTAGAAATAGACAGTAATCTTAAATTATTTTATTTTCAGTCATGGTGCGTATGAACGTTCTTAGCGATGCTCTCAAATCCATTAATAACGCTGAGAAGCGTGGAAAGAGACAGGTACTCTTGAGACCATGTTCAAAAGTGATCATTAAGTTTCTAACTGTTATGATGAGAAAAGGTAAGAACATATATAAGCATCCTCCAGTTTTTATTGTTCTTAAAATATACATCAGTTTTACATTCATGTATTTATTTCTAAAACTGACTAGTTACCAATATCGTGATTTTATTATATTATTCACTTGGCCTTTAGGATACATCGGAGAGTTCGAAATCGTCGATGACCATCGCAGCGGCAAAGTTGTAGTAAATCTTAGCGGAAGGTTAAACAAATGCGGTGTTATTTCCCCTAGATTTGATGTTCCAATTAACGATATCGAAAAGTGGACAAACAATCTTTTGCCGTCTCGTCAGTTCGGGTATGTATTCAGAAGTTTGCATCAAGATTAAATAATTCCATACATAACCTGCAAAATTATGTCGCAGATACGTCGTCTTAACCACAAGTGGAGGAATTATGGATCACGAAGAAGCCAGGAGGAAACATCTTGGAGGGAAAATACTTGGATTTTTCTTTTAATTTTTATTTAATTCAATAAAAATTTCTTAACATCATAAGCTGTATAGATTTAAAGTTATTAAAAATATCCCAACAACCTGTCTCATTATTCCTGTAAAGAAAATCTAGGTTAGGGAATATTTTTAAAATATTGATCAAATTGGTTTGCCTGAAGTTAACATCTCATTATGTAAAATTGGAAACTTTATAAATTATATTTAGGTTTACAATACATTATAAAAATTGCATCATGATATAAATAATAAATATTCTACATGATTATACACTCATGATACTTCATACACTTATGTTTTGATAAGTAAATCTTGAAGTATTGAGATAGTATTAATAATTTATTAATTCAAATATGCAGCGCGCATGTCATATGGTTCGTACATACACTGATATACTGCGTATAGGCGTACTGTTACAGTACTACTGTTGTGTACACTCACGTACATCGGTACACAAGTATTGACACAAATGGCGTGATGCTATGACGTTGCATGAGACGATGCGTCTATCAGTTGCAGAATATGATTTCATCGTATGCACAAATGGTAGTAGTATTACGGTTAGCAATTGTCGATACGTGTCGGTGATCTGTTAGGAATGGTAGTGCGGTACTGCAACTGCAGTTCAACGGAATATATTGTACCGCAGACTCATAACCTTTTAAGGTTATGACATGATACAAGAAGGTTAAGTTACGTTTAGAAAAAGAACAAAATTTGTGCCAATGTAAATAGCATTTGGCACCGCTACGAATACTTCGAGTCATGGCTGATGATGCAGTTACATCCAATGTATCGACTTACGATTATCATATGGTGAACGCGGAAAATGCACAGAACACCTCGCGAGAAAGACGAATAAAAGGAACAATGTTTTCGGATCTCAGGCTTGTCAGTCGACGCGACTGGATCACAGTCTGCGTGCTATGTTTTGTTAATCTTATAAATTATATGGATCGTTTCACGATTGCTGGTACGTATTACATTGCTCCAATATTCGTGTGATTAACATCAATCAAGAAGTACTTGTAATACATAAACAATGATAATTCATGATATTATTGTATTGAAGGAGTGTTAACGAACATAAAAGATGATTTTAATATTGGCAATGGTAAATCTGGATTGCTCCAAACCGCATTTATCTTAAGTTATATGGTGTTTGCACCAGTGTTTGGGTATTTAGGAGATCGTTACAATAGGAAGATTATAATGAGTAGCGGTGTGTTTCTTTGGTGCTTAACGACGTTTATTGGTTCCTATATGAAGGTAATATTTCATATATTTTTGGATGAAAAATTTTAGATAAAACTTATCTTGTATAGATTGTAAATTAAGTAATTTATTTATATGACATTATTTCAGACTTTTGAATGGTTTCTCCTGTTCAGAGCTCTTGTTGGCATAGGAGAAGCCAGTTATTCCACAATTGCTCCAACAATAATAAGTGACTTGTTTGTTAAAGATATGCGGTCTAAAATGCTTGCACTATTTTATTTTGCGATACCAGTCGGAAGGTAATTTAACTATTATTGTACATGTAATGTATATGTAAATATGTATCAATAGGTATATATAATTTTTAGTGGTTTAGGATACATAACAGGAGGTGAAACAGCAAGAGCTACTGGTGAATGGCAGTGGGGTTTGCGTATCACTCCTATATTAGGTATAATTGCAATTATTTTATTACTTACAGTAGTAAGAGACCCTATTAGAGGTGAAAGTGAAGGAGGAGCTCATTTGACGAGCACTACTTGGTCGAACGACGTGAAGGCATTATTAAGAAAGTAAATATTAAAGTAAACATTGAATAAGAAAATTAATATGACATGTGGTTTATTTATAAATTTTTACACTTTATAATGTTTGTTTACTATCCAGTCCAAGCTTTATGCTCTCTACTGCTGGATTCACATGTGTAGCTTTTGTTGCTGGTGCATTAGCTTGGTGGGCTCCAACATTCTTGCAATTAGGATTCGCGTTACATCCCAATGGACATAACATTGATCCAGATGAGTATGTTTTTTTTTAAATTTATTTACAGTTTTCTATTAGCGATAATTAACATTTTTTATTATTATGGATTTATGGATTTATTTATTTTTCAGTGTTGCATACAAATTTGGATTAATAGGAATGGCATCTGGATTAATAGGAGTACCGTTAGGTTCATTACTAGCCCAAAAGCTAAGAGTACGGTGGCAGCAGGCTGATCCTCTAATATGTGCAGTGGGACTTTTGATTAGCGCACCATTATTATTCTTTGCAACCCTAACTGCCAACACAAATTCTGTTTTATGTTACACATTAATATTCTTTGGACAATTATCGTTGAATTTAAATTGGTCCATCGTGGCGGATATATTGTTGGTACGTCGATTAAATATTTTTAATCAATTATATTCCTATATTCGATAAAAATTATTTTTTGAAATCTTGTTATACTTGAATGTTACAGTATGTTGTCATACCCACGAGGAGATCCACTGCAGAGGCTTTTCAAATACTTATTGCCCATGCTTTTGGAGATGCTGGAAGTCCCTATCTTATTGGCTTGGTAAATATCCATGGACCATTTGGTTAAGTAAAACATTCCCAAATTTTATTTTATTTTTTTACGTTATCGATTCACAATTTTACTGATTGATTTCAGTTATCCGAAGGACTGAAAACGATTCTTCTTCCAGACTTGGCTATTCATAGTCAAATGAAACCAACGCCAACCGACGCTCCCGACACGCTCGTCGAATTTCGCAGTTTGCAATATGCATTGTTCATGACGATGTTCATAGAAGTCATTGGAAGTCTGTTTTTCTTCCTTACAGCGTTGCACATACAGAAGGATAAAACGTTAGTCGATCTAACAATCGCAGGTAAGTGACGCTACATGCAAACATTCGAAGACCGAAAAGACTTTGTCTTGGCATCTTATTTGCATGTTCGTATGGAAGTCGCTACTAATACAGCTTGATGTTTGACATATATATTTATATATATGTATATAGAATTTAGTACAAATTTCACAATGTTGTTTTTGAAGAAGTTTTTAATTGCCTTGTATCGGAAGCACTTTTTGCAAGAATAACGTAGGTATTGTAAGAACCATAACGCACTATCGCTTATATATATACATATATGCAGTAACATATTACCCCCAAGATTATCAATCTTTAATTAAAAAATGTTAAGCACGAATAATAATTATAGAGGAAAACGTTGCACGCTATTACAATTTTAATTTCTTCAGAGCTGTCACTAATAATATTATTATTATAATATTTTAAGACGGTGAATCAATATGGAATATCAAATAATAAATTCAATGGTTTAATTAAAATTTAATTATTTTTGCACAGTGCATGAATTATTCTCAAGTTTGGAATTAAATGGACAAAGTGTGGGGTCAAAAGTAAGGAGGTATCGCACTTTCATTTTTTTTAACATGTTAAGCGCCAGAATCTGTCTGATAAATGCAATGCAATTATAAAACTTGTCGAATAACGAAACCAAAGCGAAAACACATATAAAACATTAAGAATGTCTAGTAATAAGCAATTAAAAAAATAAAGGGGTGATGATAACAAAGTTGTCCCTTTGTTTCTTATTTCTTCTATTATTTTCGGCGCTTAACTTGTTAATATTTCATATTTCAATTATTATTAATTATTAATATTTCATACGATTACTTCTCTGAAAGTGACAGCTTTGTTACATTATCGTCAAAAAAAGCACATTTTCCTCTAGTTTATTTTTTAATGCAATCATCATAAGTATGGTGCTTAATATGTTAAAACACTTTACGATCTACATAGTAACAAAACATTTTCCAAAATAAAGACAAAAGTTACGTAGTTTAATTCTATGTTAAAAACATGAATACATATATGATTTTTACTTTATTTGGACGCTTCGAAAAGGGTTTACTATTTATAATTTTAATTTATTTTTTTTAATAGCTTCCTTTCATAATTCCAAAACGAAGTTGTAAATAAAGTATGAGAATGGTGAACCCTACTGAAAAATGTTAAACCTTGTATACAGTATATCACTCGATATAGTATCTTATGTGGCCTAGTGTGGAATGTATATGAAGTTAATTTTGTATAATATGCAAACATCTTTCTTGCAGACAAATATCTAGATACTAAGAATAATGGGCAAGCTGAATCAACGCATTTATAAATCACATCACTGGGCCTTCCCTGATAGTGTGCTGTATACCCGGTACATAATTTATTTTCATGATTTCATATTTCTTTTTATATATTACGATAGTCAGTTTAATATTTCTTTTCGAAAAATTATTTCAATACCTAAAATAATATTTATTTATTAATATTCAATCATATCGATCGATTATGAACTGAAACATCGTAACAAAAGTATAAGTTGAATGTTAGTCCTTTTGTAGTTAACAATAATTTGTTTGTTTAAAATCTCTTAAAATTTATATTTTCCATTTCCACATTATAAATTAATTAGAAATTGAAATGTTTTATTTTTATTATTTACATTAATTTAAACTTTATCGACAAAACTTGGAAGCTGTAATAACTATGAAATACTTAAATTGATTATCGAGTGAATTTTGTTTAATTTACATTGATTTATGTAAATTACAATTCTCTTATATTTTTCGTTTGTCCTGCTTAATTTTGTTCCAGTGGGAACAACACTCTTTAACTATCGATTTTTTATCTTTGTTTTATTATTGGTCCCTTCATTCAGTTTTAAAACTGAATAAGAGTTTCCAACGATAACGCTAATATTTCATTGTATTTTATTGCTTTATTAATTGGGTGCATCAAAACATTGTGCGAGTATGTGTGAGATTAATATTATAGCTTCTGCCTTATCATCGTATGTCTGTCTTATGAGTCAGATAAAAACTGATGAAGCTTGCCTACTAAAACAAAAACAATTTTCCATCACTTCACGTAAACACAATTTAGAACTGCCTTGTTGTTTCTGCATGGTAATTAGTTGCATGTAAGGTGCTATAGGCAACACTATCTATTTAATACTAACACTGAATTTAATAC